ACTAAACTAACCTAACCTAACCTAACCTAACAAAACCTAATCTAACCTAACCGATGTATAAGCAACAGCAACATTGCCCCCGATTGTTGATATGCCAAGTCTCCAATAATAATAATAATAATAATAATAATAATAATAATAATAATAATAACAATAATAATAATAATAATAATAATAATAATAAAAAATAACAAAAACAAAAGCAACAACGATGATAATAATAATAACAACACAACAAAAACAACAACAACACAACAACAACAACAACAACAAACAAGACATATTCACAATCTTCACTACCATCTGTAAAGGAGCAGTGTGTGTGTGTGTGTGTGTGTGTGTGTGTGTGTGTGTACCTTTTTCTGAGACACCTGTAATAGTCTCCCCTTTACTTCCTTGTTCGTGGTTCAGGAAGGCGAGGTTGTTGCTCCACCCCCGCCCCTCACCTCCCCCCAACCGCCCTCACCACCGCTACTGATAAGACGGCCCTAAGAGATCTTATCTAGGGTTCAAAGTTGTCGAGATGTTGTTTTGTGGAACGTGTGTGTGTGTGTGTGTGTGTGTGTGTGTGTGTGTGTGTGTGTGTGTAAGAACAAAGAGGATGATGCATTAATAGTACGCAAAATCATCTGAACACACACACACACACACACACACACACACACACACACACACACACACTCAAGGTCGTCCTCAAAGGAACACAAACACTCCATCATCATAACTATTACTCCTTCTCGTCACTCCGCTGCAATAATGACGAGAGAAAGTAAATGAAAACAAATAAAATATTCCTGAAGTGTATAAGAATAATCAAAATATATACTGTATAATATGACTAAATCTACCCAGACTACCTGTACATTATACCTCATCGAAAATTTAGTCGAAAAATCTCACGAAAAATTATCACACGATATATGGCAACTCAATGACGTCTCGCATGTTTCGCCCTGAGTATATAAGTGCTTTAAAAATCACCTTATATCAATCACTCCCTTTAAATTACCACCTAACACTAAACCTTCACAAATTATATAAAAAATTACCTTGAAAATAAAACTCAACACTTGGATTCTTAAAAAAAAAAGAAGTTCGTAAGTTTTTTTTCTCGTAACTGCAGACGTGAGGATCCACACAGAGACTCACTTAAGATAAGACTCAGAAATAAGACTCGGGTTGTATTAAAGATTCCCAGAGACTTTACCTTTACCTGCAGACGTTCCCTTGGTAACAGTCTAGCCAAGGTACACTGTATACCTGGATGATTTCCAGGTAAACTGTATACCTGTGTTGTGTATATACATGCTGAACTGTATACCTGCATTGTCATATATACATGCTGAACTGTATACCCACAGTACACATGCTGAACTTTATACCCACAGTATACATGCTGAACTGTATACCTGTGTTAGGTATATCTATATATGCTGAACTGTATACCTGCATTGTCTTATATACATGATGAACTGTATACCCACAGTACACATGCTGAACTTTATACCCACAGTACACATGCTGAACTGTATACCCACATATCCAAACACATACCAAACAAACTGTAAAACTTGTATCACGATTTCACTGAATATCTATTTATATCTATTAACGAGTAGAGTCTCCCGAGCGGGTTGGGTTGTTGTGGTCGCTTATAAAATATTACCCAACACGTCCACAGCTGCTTAGTGCCAGTGACGTCCCAGCGGCGTTCCCAAGGTTGACGCTCTGCTGCCTCACTTCTTGGTCTCGTTTTGTTATTTCTGTGTTTGTTCTTAACCTTATCTCCTTAGACAGTATATAATGTGGCTGGTGTCATTTGCTGGAGGGATTAAGTTAAGTTATCCTATCCACACACACTCTCTCTCTCTCTCTCTCTCTCTCTCTCTCTCTCTCTCTCTCTCTCTCTCTCTCTCTCTCTCTCTCTCACACACACACACACATACAACCACATAAACACTATCACACTCGGAATTATCCTCACCATCGTCATTTATGTTAACAAGTGACCCCTCTACCAGACGTGTATTAAGGCAAGTGGCATCGTCTGACTGGGACATTTAACCCAAACTATCGTACAGAACATCCCATAGTGTATGATAATTGTCAGTCCCAGGAGGTGATGCTGCCAGTCTGGGGGGATACTCTGGGCCGACTATTATGAAGGGACTTATGGCATTGTAGACGGCTCAGGTGGAAGTGTGTGTGTGTGTGTGTGTGTGTGTGTGTGTGAGAGAGAGATATGGAGAAAGAAAGTGGGTGGGGGATGGAAAATGTGGGGAGAGGGTTGGAGGGTGGCAGATGGGGTGGAGAGGGTGAGAGATGGGGTGGGAGAGGGTGAGAGATGGGTGGAGAGGGATGAATCTGGCCACCTGGGTCGATTCATCAAGGTGAAGATATTGCATTCTCTCTTGCACTCTGGCGGTCAAGTTTTTATGGTGACAAATAAGCAATTGCAACTCTCCCCACCCACGCGCCAATCTCATTCTCTATCTGATTCTCTCATCCACGCCACTCCACCCACGCCACCCATCTACACCATCCATACCACCCACCTACCCACACTAACCCACCCACTTCTTCCAACACATAACACCAACTCACTCACCCACCACACCACACCCACCCACCACACCCACCACACCCACCACACCCACCCACCACACCCACCCACCCACTCTGGTCATTGCCATCCCCATTGTCATTATTACCAGATATTAGAATTTGAAGGTAATGGTTTTAATGGGAGCCAACTTAATACCAGATAAAGTGTTATTGACCCTCCATTTGTTACAAGTTTGATCTCTCTCTCCAATTTTTGTAGGTCTGGCCTTATCATGGCCCAGGAGAGAACAATTGGCCCAATCCATCATCACAGACACTACTTAAAACATGAATCAGCCCTGAACCGTCTCAGTGACCCTACCACACTTTTCACCACACTCTTTATCGTACTCTTTAGGCCACTCTCTCTTTACCACCTTCATCACACTCTCTTTATCACACTCTTCACCACACTTTATCACTTTATCAACCGCTTTTACCACACTATTCACCCCACACACTTTCACCACACTCTTCACCACACCTTCTCAACACTCTTCACCACACACTTCACCACACACTTTTACCACTCTTCACCATATCCTTTTACCATACTCTACACTCTTCACCACACACTTCACCACACTCACACCATCGTACATTTCAATATCTCCCACCTGAGTATGTTTGAATATCTGTCTCTCACTTAACACAGAGTTCAAAGGTTCTTAAGTTCAATATTCCTCACAAGCAGAAGAGAGAGAGAGAGAGAGAGAGGCTATCTGCCCCATTTAAGATATCGTAAAAAAAAAGGATCCCCAAGCGTTCGTAAGCTGAATCTTCCTCCTATCCGGATATACACGAACGCAGCTGACTCAAACAAACGCATAAAATGGATTCTCAGGATATTCGTAACTGAAGCAGACGAATAAAATCACCTGAAAAATAAACCCAACCCCAGCAATCACCTGAAGATTAATCACCCTAATATTATTTGTATGATGAGGTTAGATTAGGTTGTTGGGTTGCTGGGTTGGGTTGGGTTGGGTTGTTGAGTTGGGTTAAAATAAATAAGGTGGGATGGAGATTCTTCCGGTGAGCCCATAAATAAATTAACTGAAAATGCAAATAACAAAACTAAAGCAGCAAAAGAACCCGACCTACTGTGACTGTACACCCCACCC